AACAACTGAACGGAACTGCTTTAAAGCTAAAATTGGAAACTTGGTAAAACTTTTTCAGTGTTTAGTCTATAGTGCAAAAAATCTCAGTTATTCTTCTGTTTTTCGTAAGCTGATGTTCAACAGCATGTTGGCGCACAAATGAAACACTCATCAAAAACATCGCTTTAAATTTGTTGTAAAAGTTTCTTTCAGCTGACAATTAAGCAGAAAAAGAAAAAAGAAACTCCAAAAAAAAAACACTAAACGAGGGAAGAAATTTGTTTGTTTACTCTTTATAATTATTTTAAAAAACCATAAAGAAGGAATTAAAAGTCTAATTCGATGCTATTGTCGCTAAACTTATTTTATAATTTACTGTTGCTATTACTGTCAATTTCAATTTTAGAAACTTCAGAAATCGGTCACATTATTTTTTGAATAAGAGAAAAAGAACTTTGGAGAAAATGTTTAAACATGATGGTAAAACAAGAAGGAGTGAGGAAAGATAGAAAAATGATAAGAAATCTGCTAAAGAACTTTTGCTTTGAAAGATTTAAGGCATTAGAGGCGTCTGAACCGGTGATAACCAAAATCAGACGACTCTATCGCAACACCAACAGCTGCAACAGCGGCAACGACTTATTTCGCGTATGAACACATTTATTCTTGAAACCACAATGAAAAATGCTGTTTCCGGTTTTCCAAGCACCGACTATAATTCCACTACAGAACCGATAACATAAGTTCAGGAACTAATTAAATCATTTCATGCAGGTGGTTTCAGTCTGTCCTCCTCAACGTCTTTTTAGTCTGTTCCTCGCGGATTTTTCCCGGATCACTTTCTCTTCTCTCCACCTCAGTTAATCTCCTCTCATTCAAAAAATTTCAACGCTTATTGGTTTTTCTGTTTTGTTTCAAACAACTAAAATTTTATGACAACAAAACTTGCACTTTTTTTCCCTCTCTCCTCTTTTGCCCCTGTCACTCCCAAATATGGGAAAGATATGGAACTGAACGGTAAAAACGTGCAATTTATTTTGTTCACTCCATCTATTGCATTCGTTTTAAAAAAAGCGCTAGTCAATTTTGTTTGTTGTTATCTGTCAAACTTCTCACACCCACAATTCTTGTTTTTTCACTAGCAATCATCACCATCAATTCTATCATTCTGCATAGCAAATCAAATTGGCAGGTCTGATCCTCCTCTGTTATTATTATTATTATTTTTGTTTTCTTTTTCTCTGATGTTTAGTAATTTATCTGGAATAAGTGTAGAGAAATGAAAGTAAAACTGGAAATTCAGACTGTCATTTTCTGTACGATACGGTAGGTGATCATCCAGTTGCAACCATTTCGATAAATCGACCACTGTAGCCGTTGAAATAAACTGTAATCTATGCAGTTAAACAGTTTTCATGCCTTTTTTCATTACTTTCGCTTTCGGTCTGTATGATACTGGTTGTCATCGCATTTTGCTGACCTTTATCGAATGATATCAGTGAAAAGCTTGTAGACAGTGTTTTGCCTCTTTGACATAACTTGATCATTATTAATTTTGTTCGAAAAAAAAAGAAAGCAAATGAAATTTTTCTATAATTTTTCATACTTGGTTTACTGCACTTAATTTAGAAGTTATTTCTGAAAATATTAAATGGCTAACCAACTGCTTGCTGTTTGGTTAACATTTATTAGTGTTTGTTGTTTAAAAGCTCATTTAGTAAGGAGCTCAGGTGCAGGTGATATGCAAATAAAATAATTCCTTAACTTTTTAATTCTAAAAAAACTTATTAAGAAACAACTCTACCCAAAAACAGATAAATAAATGAGTAAAAAAATGTTTTTATTTGAGTTTGTTAAGTAGCACTTTTTTTTTGTTCTAATGAAACATTTTTTTAATAGAAAATGATCATATGTTGCTGAGGTTTATGCGCTTTAAAAAACTTGTCGAAAACTGAAGATATCTTATCATACGCTAAAAACTTCTTCAGTATATAGAGAGACGTATCTTAACCAACAATCTTTGATTCCAGTCTTTAAATTCTTTTTTTTTTCTTAATTTTTCAAATTTGTATAAATTCTATTAGATTTATAATGGTAGCAACAATAAATTTCTTTTAATGGAAACCAAAGTGTCAGCTGCCTGTTGACAGTACCAAAGATCTGTTAGTGTATATCACTGTTGCATCCCATCTCTTAACTTTCCGGTCTGTCTGTCCGGATTTCTCTTCCCTCTTTCCTTGTTGCTTTCTTTTTCTCTTTCTTATGTCAACCCTCTATTTTCGCCATTTCATTTTATTTTTTAGAAGGCTTTCAAAAATTATATTAGACTGCAGAAAAAAATTTGTCATTTTTTTGGTGTATTTGCGAAGAAATTTCATTGTTTTCTTAGTTTTTATAGTCTTTTTGTTTTCCTAAATTTATCTTGTTCTATTGTTGGTAAAAATAGAAATTTTTTCAACAAGTACTCTGTCTGCTATCAAAACAATGAAACTCAAACTGTTTTCAACTCAAAAATAAGTGTAAAAAATAAAGAAGAAGACAACACCAACGACAACAACGAAAATGACAATATCCTTCACTTTTTCCTTAATGTTATTGGTCTTTGATAATCAAAATATATACAAATATATACAACATATATTTGTATTCATTCATAGACTTACTGAATTCTCGTTCTAGTGCAGATTAAGATGTATCTTTAAGGTTGTAAAAAAGACGATTTAATGATATTCTTGGACATATGTTTCTCTTTTGTCCTGTAAAGGAGTTCATTTTTGGCGGATACGTCTTTGATGAGAACTTGTGAATACATCTCTCAACCTGTGAACAAAGTTGTTGTTTTTATCACCTATTTTTTTTTCTTTTTCTGGTTGAAGGAAAAGAGTTGCCAAATTTTAAGATAACAAAAATGAAATTTCTGCGTACTTTAAACTTTAATTTTTCTTTATTTTTTTCTTTTTGCTTTACTTCTTTGTTTTTCATTGTTATTTTTGTTTTGATTCTCTATAAATTAATTGACTTCCTAAGAAAAAAAAAAAGAAAATTGAAATAAAGTTTATTAAAATTTAAAAATAGAATTTTGAATGCGCATAATCGTTTAGTAAATTTTAGTAATAATTTATAAACAAATTTTTCTTACCTTCAATAAAATTTAGCAGAAAAAAATATACTTTTTTTTTAAAATTAATTTCTGACCGCGATTTTTACGAAAAAAACGACAATTATTACAAGAAAAAATTGTTTAAAATACAAAAAAAAGACAAAGGGACAAAAGCCAAACATAAACAAAATCGTTTTTTGTTTACTGTATTACTATAACATATCAGACAATGAAGTTTAAAGAAATACTCGTGAGCTGTATTTATGCCGTAATTTCTCATC